TTTGTTTAACGAAACCAGTGTGAATGGTTCTCATTAAACTGGATAGATCTGAGGTGTGTTTCCCAAAAGCATCGTTAGCGAACTGTGGTTGTTAAATTACATTGAACTATAACGACATTAAGTTACTTGCGACCGTAGTTGCTTTGGGAAACGAGCCCTGTCAATTTTGACTCAGCGATTATTTTATGCCGATCGCTTCTCCATAGAGAGGATTATCAGTGAAGTAATCACTTAAAGTTTGGTCCATTCATTAAACAAATCTATTGTATAACTTGGAGAACTGTGCCAGTTGTTTTGGCTAATTTTATGATATGTTTGGATTCATTTTGAAGCTTGGAATGCAGCATGAAACAGACATAATTATGTCCCCACTGGATGCAACAAATGCCTCGTTTATAATGGGTTTTCATGTTTTTGTCTCGTCGCTCCGGCCGGACAGGGCATCACAGTATGGTGAGGGGCGTAACATTTCCGTCTCACGCTTGAGGTATTCGGCCAATCACAACGCACTGGATAGCTGGCCAATCACAGCACACCTCGCTTTTTCAGACCGATGAGCTTTGTAAAAATCTACGCGTTTCAGAAAGGCGTGGCATAGAGGAGAAACAATAATGTACAGTATGTGGAAAATAATGTGTTTTTTTAACCTTAAACCGCATAAACACATTTCATTACACCAAATACACAAAGTAATGTTCTTTTTAGCAGCATCATATGACCCCTTTAAATAGCCTCTGCCAACAAGGCGGGCTATTTGCACTTAGTGTACAAACCCAATTCCAAAAAAGTTGGGACACTGTACAAATTGTGTGTATACTTATTTTTCCCTTAAAATTATACGTTTTCTCAGTTTAAACATTTGATATGTCATCTATGTTGTATTCTGAATAAAATATTGAAATTTGAAACTTCCACATCATTGCATTCTGTTTTTATTCACAATTTGTACAGTGTCCCAACTTTTTTGGAATCGGGTTTGTAAATGGACACTACAATTTTTTTTATTCCCAACAGTTAAACAGTTGCCCACAGAAAAAACAGGGGGTGCTGCAGCACCCTCAGCACCCCTACTTGCCATGCCTATGCCTGCCCGTATAGACGAGCCGCGCCTTATCGCAAGGATACATCATTATCTGGTCAAAGAGATGATAATGTGACTCGCGCTGCAACATTCGCCTTTAAAAATAATGACAGAGTACACATCTCCATCTTCCCGGATTTCACGGCAGAGGTACCCATAGGAAAAATGTATTGCTCAGTGGTTGCTTTTCCTAATCTCAGGAGACTTAGATGAGATTCTTATATATCTCTCATTTTAGTATCAACAGCATTTCAGATAGTTCTCCTAAAATTCCTTAGGAGAAATGGAAGTAGACACAAATGAGACATGAGAAATATTTGAGAAAAAAAGTCAAAACTGAGAATGTGGTGGAAGAAACATAGGAGATCTCTTTATTGTCTTGCTGTAATCTCTTTCAAGACCCCATTATGAAAATGTTTCTCTTTCTTTTTTTGATTATATAGGGGTTTTTCACCTTTAATGGTCAGGACAGTAGGAGTAGAGACAGGAAACAATTGGACAATCAAGAAGTGAACAGGAGCAGGAAACTACTCTTAGCTGGGATTCAAACCCATGTTGTCTGAAGTGCAGTTGTGTGTCAGGTCGATGTGCTGCCCACAATGCTATGGCTCTGACAGAGCTATCTATGCTCAGGATACTAAAGGGTGATTCTCTTATATGTCTCATTGAGATATTAGCTTTGTCATAAGATTCTTCAGTTTTATTTTAGGAGAAACATAAAACTATTACTAATATTGTAAATAACTAATAATAAAGCGTTATATAAATGCATCATTCATTCATTCATTCATTCATAAATACTAAAACTATCATTTAAATAGCATTAAACATTTATCACAGGGTTATCAAGGGTTACTAGTTTAAATGTTTAAATTTATCTTCAATGTCCAGCATTGTATATACACCACATTTTCCAAACACACTAGAAAATACTTACAAGTGCAAGATGTTTAGAATAAGAGCAATACCTTTTTTTTAACAAATGTAACACTTTACCAGTGTATGTTTTTTTTTTTTGCTTTGTTTAGAATTAAAATTTTGTCTTTTTTGCATGTATGTAAATATAGGTTATGGTTTCCTCTGTTAAATCACTGTGCAATAAAACACTGTCTACATAAAATAAACTTCAAATATGGCAATGCATGTATTGTCTTTGATTGAAATTGTGTAGATAAATGACATTGAAGCTAATCAGAGGGAAGAAAAATAAAATTAAAAAAAGAGATCTCTTTAACATTTCAAATATTTATCCTAGACAGAAATGAGGTTACTTTAAGATTGAATGGAAACTTTTGCTTGAGTCTCCTGCTTCTCAAACTTGTCTCCTGAGACAAAAACTCTAACACTCTCACAATGGTCTCCTTTAAAGCTTTAGAAGAGACCTCATCATCATCATCGCACACTGTGCTCAGATTTTTCTCCTTAGCTAGAGACTCGGGAGCGCTTACATTTGTCTCCTCTAAATTTCAGAAGTGAGCTCAATAAATGTACAAAGTGTGCACCAAGTCAAATGTCTCAATATGAGCTCAAACATGTCTACCATATAATATGTATTAATAATCACATTAGTCAATTAATAATCAAGACTGAGTCATAAGCCATTTATGTGCCTTTCAGCAAAGAAAGCTCCAGGGTTACTGTAGATAACTGATGATGTACGATTCAGTTAGTTAAGATGGTCAAGATGTGTTTAAGGAAGCGGTGTTGGAGTGTCCCCTGCTGGTTAGATAAGTTTGATATACAGTGGTTTTGGAGTGCTGCGAGCTCTACATGAGAGCTAATAAACATGTTGTTCTCCAATATACAAACGTCTCGGTCTTCATAACGAACTACAGTTACATTTTCTGTAAATCAGTTTTAAGGCATCCGGTACATTACTATTTCCAACAACAAATTATGTGCCTAAGTACATAAACATTGTCTTATAAAAAGTAACATTATCCTTATTTCTGCATAATTTCTCTAGTACATTACATGCTATTTTGCTTAGTTGTCTGTTCGTCGGAGAATAATGATCTCTATTTTTTTTTAAATTGTGACAATTTATCCAGAATTTATCCCCCCATCCCCACCACCTTTTTACGATTGCTTAAGCACAATTTTGAAAACAGGGCCCGGTTTGTCAAAACACTACACACAATTAACACAACCCTACACCAAAGTAGCACAACACTTCAGATCATTTGCAAAATGGAACACTTGTCAAAACTTTATAAAAAACAATATTTTGTTACCATACGAAACACACACATTTCATATGACTTTAATCTTTTTGAACCAGTTACACACTGCTGTTGCTAACCTAAAACACTTTTAGCAAGTCTAATTCTCAGTGATTAGAGTACTGTAAATGAAGTACACAGAGAAAGTGCAACTATACAATAGTTCACCAAACACTACACAAGACCAATGCTGCAGACTGACAAAAATATCATTGATTTCTCTCCATATACCCAAATCAGTCAACATGGAGAATCACAACAAAACATGTCCCAGTTGTCATGCTACTACAGTAGTGTGCATAACACTGTTAGCTCAGCTTGCAAATAGTGTGAAGCTGACAATGTGCTTACAGTTGTGCAAATCTAGCCTAAGGTTTTGCTAATTGTTGGAAAAGTTTAATTTTAGTGTGTAAGCAATCGTAAAAAAACTGTAATATAAATAAGCACCATTCAAGCTGCGATATCAAATAGGACCAC